TATATATATATGATATATTGTTCTACCAGCCACTGTACTTACCCACATGGAGAAATATTGAAAGACTTCCAACCACTGCCTCTGGGCAGCTCTCACTTGGTGTATAATTCTGTGCTGCTTCTCTACTGCTCTATTTGCCAATTATAAATAAGAATAGCTTCTAGTATATTACACTGCATACAATGAACACTTGAGAAGAGTGGCCTTGGGCAGGTTGTTTAAAGCAAATGTAAAGATTACCCCATCTCGAGAGCAGTTTTGTGGATGAACGGCTGTTCTCCCATACTGCTGGCAGTATTGGAATAAAAGCTCATATGTGTTTCAACCATCTCTGCTTAATTGGCTCACGTAGTGACAGGCAGCATGGACCCATTGATTGTCCAGTTACATATTCTGGAGACCACGGAAGGATATAAGCAAGAGACTCCTCTGGGAGAATCAAAGGCTCCATCTGGGAAATTTGTACCATCTCAAAGCTCGATGCACTAATTCAGCAAAAGGGAGAGGAACAACATCAAAGGATGGCAAGTAGTGTCCTGGCGCAAAGGAGAGCCCAGAGCAGTGAGAGGAAGCAAGAGAGTGAGCCACGTATCGTTAGTAGAATTTTTCAGTGCTGTGCTTGGAACCATGGAATATGCAGTCTCCTCTTGTTTTATCGAGTGTCTATTCCTGTACTTCAGTCAGTAACTGCCCAAATTATTGGTGGTCCGCCTCTACATGGAGATGTTTAGTTGTGGCTGGAATTCTTCCTCACGTCAATGTTCAGTGCTCTCTGGGTGCTCCCCGTGTTTGTGCTTAGCAAAGTTGTGAATGCCGTTTGGTTCCAAGATATAGCTGCCCTGTCATTGGAGGTATCAGGGAGAAAGCCTCACCCATTCCCTAGTATTAGCAAAATCATTGCTGAAATGCTCTTCAACCTTCTGCTTCAGGCTATTTTCCTCATCCAGGGGATGGTTGTGAGTGTCTTTCCCATCCACCTTGTTGGGCAGCTGGTTAGTCTCCTGCATATGTCCCTTCTCTACTCACTATACTGCTTTGAATATCATTGGTTCAATAAAGGCATTTAAATGCACCAGCGGTTGTCAAACATAGAGAGGAACTGGCCTTACTACTTCAGATTTGGTGTACTTCTGGCTTTCCTCACAGCAATGCAGTCCTCATCCCTTATCAGTGGCTGGCTCTTCTCTACCCTCTTTTCTTTATTCATTATTAGCACCAGTGAAGCAAAGACCCCTGGCAAAGCTTACCTTTTGCGCTTCTTCTCCTTGGTGGTTTTCTTAAGCAACAGACTCTTCTACAAGATGGTCTACCTGCAGTCTTCCCTGAGTAGCTCAACCTCTGCAGAGAACTTCCCTTTGCCACTTTCGTCTCCTGCCAAACTGAAGGCTGCTGCAGGCCACTAAGTCACCTGCCACCCAGGGGGAATGAGTGGGATTGGGAGGAGGCTGTGCAGTTCTTTCCTTGTTCATCACCCCCACCAGGGAAGGCAGGGCCTGCTCTGCCAAGGGCCCTCTGCATATTCCCTTCCGAGGAATTGGGATTTTTGTCTCTGGTGAACGTAAGGCACAATCTTCCTGACTGACACCAGTAATGGGATTGTTAACACTTAGGAGTCTGAAAGGCCCACAGGTTTTTCTGCAGCTCTTTTCTAGCACTTGCCAGCCTCCCGCACTTGGACTGATTGGAGTACTTTTTCTCCCCATGCCATTTGCCCTTCCACCTCCCTTTCCTGCCTTCCATCATCCTTGGATGAATGGATTTTGAAATTCTAGCTATTGTATTTTGTGGACCTGTTATTTTTGTTGTTTTTCTGTTAAGCATGTACATTGGATGTGGGAGGTAAAGGAGTATCTGTTACTACTAGTCACTCTTTTTATAGCTATCACTGTCTTGTTTCTTTTAGCTCAGGTTAGATTTTGGTCTCTCTTGCTCCACTGTAAAAAGTAAGCCTGAAGAGATGGGACAGGAGGAAAGACCTCACAGCCAGATCTGCTAGGTTTTAAGAAGTGATTTTTCTTCCCCTTACAGGGGAAAAAGCTTTTTTCACTGGTACATTTAATGTTCCCCCAACTACAGGGAGGTAGCAGTTTTGGACAAGCGCCACAGCAACACAGAATGCTCAGAGAACCCGAACTTTTAAACTCTGCAGGTCTGAAATTTACTGTCGGCCATTGTTGGGTCTGTCTGGAATATTGGGTGCTGCAAATCAGAACTGAAGGGGTAAACTTATTAAACCTGAACCTGTGATTGGTGTTTTTCTGTCATTTTAAAGAGATAGCATTGGGGGAGACGGCAGATTTCAAAACATTTGTACAATTTTAAAATGTCATAATTAAACGTGAGCTGGTTTCACACACACACACACACACACACACACACACGCACACGCACACACACACACACAGAGAGAGAGAGAGAGAGAGAGAGAGAGAGAGCGAGAGAGAGAAAGAGAGATTACCCCATCTCTACTAAGTGGATTATGTGAACTATAAGTACTATTGACTTCACATAGGTCATTGGACAGGAATCAAGTCTTTCCTTATAAGGAAACTGTATTGTTGTTTTATAGAACAATTCTAATGAGCATTAAATTCTTCCAGTGCCCCTTTATGGATGTGAATGGACCTTTTTCTAGAATTCAGGGATTCTAGATGGATAGGACCTTAAGGACAGAATTAGAACACAGAATTTGTAAGGATGTTTTCAGAGGCAATACCCAATGACTTTATGACCCACTGTCTTTTGTTACAGAACAGACCCTGAGCCAGCATCAGCAACACTGGCATCACCTGAGAGCTGGGTAGAACAGCAGGCCTCACTCACCTGCTCTCTCTGAATATACATTGTAACAAGATCTTTGGGTGATTCATGTGCATATGCAAGTTTGAGGAGCCCTGATCTACCCTAACCCCTTTATTTTCCTCAAGAACAAACTAATATTTAAAGAAACACAGTATGTTGCCCAAGGTCACTGAGTCAATTTGTAGTCAGGGGAACTTGGGCCAAACTATATGGGTCATGATGTTAATTCTGAACAATCATTGCTTTTTCTCATAGGTGGCTGGTTCCTTCATTAATACCCAGGGTTGGCCAATGCCCCACTTGCACCAGCCCTCTCCAGATAGGGATTTCAAACCCCTTTCTCCTCCATCAAGACTTTCTGCAGTACAGAGGTGTTCTGTATCTGTGCTCTCCACTGCCACTTGGGCTTATCAAACACTGGAAATGGGGCTGGTGCAACTAGAGAGCTGGAGGAAGAGTGATGTCTTCATCTCTAGGGCATAGTAACCACTCAACTCTAACATGGTAAGAGGAGCTTCAGGACTTTTGTTTGAGCTAGCACAGTGGCAGTTTTTTCAGCTCATGTTCTTATAAAATTATTTGCTTTTGTTGCAGTTTTCAGAAATACTGCACTAGAAAAAACTCTGGATTGTCATTTATGAACTGGGAGAAAAAGCAGTGAGCCTTTATGATCATCTGGGAATCTACCAGTTCTTTTGAAAGGATATAATCAAGCCAGTAACCTGCTATCCCTTATGCAAATGCCATGTCCTTGTTTTTGTGTTTGTTCTTAGAATTTTTCAGAAAAGGATGAATAGTCTGCTACTACTTGTGCTTCCCCTGGCTATGAGTGAGTGAAACTTTAAATTGGCTGATTTTAAAAATATATATTGCAGCCCAGCTAGATTGGCTCAGTTAGTGAGCATCGTGCTGTGCACCAAAAGGTTGCCAGTTCGATTCCCAGTCAGGGTGCATAACTGGGTTGCAGGTTTGGTCCCTGGTCGGAGTATGTATGGAAAGCAACCAATTGACATTTCTCTCTCACATCGATGTTTCTCTCTCCCTCTCTCTCCTTTCCTCTCTCTAAGCATATCCTCAGGTGAGGAATATATATGTACACAAAAAATTGTGTACTTGGGGGGGTCCCTCAGCCTGGCCTGTGCCCTCTTGCAGTCTGGGACTGCTCAGAGGATGTCCACCTGCTGGCTTAGGCCCGCTCCCTGGAGGATCGGGCCTAAGCTGACAGTCAGACATCCCTCGGGTAGCCTGGGAGCCCTTGGGTGATGTCCACATGCCGGGTGGAGCTTAGGCCTCTAAGCTGCAGTCAGACATCCTTAGTGCTACTGAGCAGGTGGCAGAGGCTCCCGCCACCACCGCTGTATGGCAGCCATCAGCCTGGCTTGTGGCTGAGCAGAGATCCCTCTGTGGGAGCACACTGACCACCAAGAGGCAGCTCCTGCATTGAGCATCTGCCCCCTGGTGGTCAGTGTGTGTCATAGTGACCAGTTATTCCCAGTCATTCTGCTGTTAGGGTCAATTTGCATAGTACCCTTTTATTATATAGGATAATAGCAAAATGTTTTAGAAAACATATCCAGCTAACATTTAATTGTGCTGATTCATGGCCAAAATTTCCCAATTCTTCATCAATGTTGTCCCATGGACTTCTGCAATATGATTTTTTTAGCTCCTCCTATAAAAAGGTGAAGTCTACTTCCTTATCTGTAAATCTGGTTTGATTTTATGATTTACTTTGGTCAGAACAATGCAATGGAAGAGACAATGTGTCAGCTCTGAGCCTAAGCTCAAAGGGTCTTGGGTTCTTCCATTCTCTTTCATGAAACCTGACAATGACAAACCTGAAAAAGCCCAGTTGAGGCTGCTGAAAGATGAGATACCCCAGTCATTAGTGAGAGGACCAACCAAGGCATTCTACCTGTCCCAGTTGCAAATTAAACCAGCCAACCCCAGCTGCACACCAGTTGACTACAGACATGTGAATGAGTCCCGTCAAGATCAACCAAGCTCAGGCTACATCAGCCAACTTGTCCAGTACACTTATAGACTTGTGAAAATAATAAATGGTGGTTGTTTTAAGCAACCAAATTTTGGGGGGTGATTTGTTACAATATTGTCATTACTAGAAAACTACTATAACAATGTTATCATATTTAATATGTTTAATGTTGCTTAACATTTCTGAAGGGAGCAAAAAAGGTTTCTAAGGCTCTGATCTGATTAAGTTCCTTGAAATCAGAGTCTATTAGAGATAGAAAGGATATCAGCATTATTCCTTGGCTACAGGCAGTTTTACAGCTGAGCAAATAGAGCCTAGAGAAGGGAAATAAATAGCTTTGCATTGGACAGCAAGTTAGAAGCAGCACAGGATGCTAGTCTTCTGTCTCCAAGGTCTTTGCTAGCCCTCAGTGTGTTCGTTCATGAATATGCTCTGAGTTTTGCTTATCTGCCAACCAGCAAGCCTTCAAAAAACACACACACAGCTTTTTAAAAGGGGATTACATTTACAGAGACCAATGCTTCCAACGTTACAATCTGATTCTTTGATTTCTAAAGGCCTTCTCAATTCTTTGTTAAAAGAAATCCCAATTTTGTCATTTGTCTTTTATGAAAAGATTAGTGGATTGTCTTTACCATCACCATAGCACTGCTTACTTAATCATCTATTATTTCTATTTGTCATTTGTCAAAAATTTTGCATGTTATAAAAAGCCTTCTTGAATGTGGCATGTTTTCTACTTACCATTGAGTGAATTTCTTCACTGGTTTTTATTCACTTTCTTGGCAAGTTAGTACCTCAGCTTGCTTGCTTCTATTCTTTTTAAAGCACTGGTAGTCATTCTTTGCATCTCAGAGTTTATAACATATTTTCATGTAAATTATCTGATTTGCATTTCCCAATAATCCATTTTTATCCACAGCAAGGAAACTGTGATTTGTACCAAGTCATGTGGATTGGAAAGAGAAGGACTAGGTCATGCTTCTAGATTTCCTTTCAACAGTTTAATTTATACCAATGATATTACTTTGCCAACTTATAATCTGCACCTGTTGGGTCTATAACAGTGCCAGTCATGCGCAATTTCCCCCTTATTACTGAAATACCCTGGGCCAAACTGCTTCCTAAGGAAATAACCCCAGCTTTTTCCTGGCAGAGGCGTCTTCCATGAGGAGTTAGTGATCTTAAGTCCAGAGCCCTTCCCTTCAGCTCTAAACAGGCCACAATTTAAATTAAGAAATGTAGAAAGAGAGGAATCTTCCCGTAAATCTTCCTAGGTTTACCTAGGCAGAGAGATAATAGCGAACCCTTAGTTCTACTCCGTTTCCTTGGGGCTTTCTGTTTCTAGTTCTAATCCATTTGTGTCCTTAAACTATTGTCCTTAACAGTACTCGAGTCCAACTCACATAATCATCTTTCCTTTGTATGACATTTCAAATTTTTTTCAAAATAATGATGTAATTTAATAAGCACAACTAATTTATTAAGTGAACTGCATTAAGTACTACTATCTCCATTTCCAAAGGATGAAAATTAAAGCTTTGAAAACAGATTAAGTGACTTGCTCAAGGTCATACAAAAAGGTACCAAAATTTAAACTCATGCCTCCTGCTTCTTGATCCTAGAATCTTTTGCGTTTTATTTTTAATTGAAATTGGACATCTTTAGTGTGCTACACAGATGTCTCTTTTGATCTCCATTATTGGAAAATGTACAAAAAGAGCATTTCAGAGGAGAGTTTAAGGCAAGGAA